TGTCATGTCCAAACTGGAAAGCGAGTGCGTTCAATGCGTTATCGCATCGGCCATACTTGCCGGACAAGTCTGAACTTAAAAAAAAACAGTTTTGTTTTTCATCGCATCGGTCTTAGAACATTGACACAACATTATAAATATTTTATTATGGATTTATAATAATTATATAATATTTTTTTAAGTAATTMATTGTACCTATAGATAAATTGGTTTTTAAAATTAAATTAAATTAAAATTTTTAAAATGCCGCCCCTGTTAAAGTGCTGCTCTAGGCAAGTGCCTATACTATACTCGCCTATATACCTTGAGCCGACCCTGATTATACATTTTTACTCGCATCGCCAGTCTACAGCTTAAATTTTCTTCTACCGTAACTATAATTATATTAGGCGATAAATTGACACGTTGTTATGCAATATAATTCAATTATTGTAAATGGAATTAATTTCGTAAAAATAAATAAAATATAAATGTATGTTATTCATTTACCCAAAAACAATAATATATCCTACACAACAGATACATATGTTACGTTTAACAACGTTGTTTTACTCACAATAAAATAGTTTCCTCATCAACTACTATTCCTTCTTTTTTATTTCATACGGCGTACTATTATAGGTACCTGCTTTAATTTGACTAGAAATAAAACGGAAAAATATGTGACATTAAATTTATAAGATAACAATCAATTGTTGGATGCAAAAATATGATTTTTCTGAATTCAAAACCACAATTAAATTTTAAAATTTTAAAATTTTAAAATTATATTAACTATCAATTTAATTACATTTTAACTGTATAAACATAATACGATATTAACCGTTTAAAGTATTCTATGTTTAATTTTTTTCAGTTATTTGCTGTAGTGATTAAATGTATTTAAATTAATAACATAGTAATAATTAGGTATATAGATTATATTTTGTTCAACAACGTAGTTTACATTGTCATATGTGGTTAATAGTTATGCATTATCTTATGATTAATAAAATTACATTTAACATAATTAGTCAGTTACACTATCACACAATTTGATTATTAAATACAAATGTAATATCATAATAATTAGATAATTATATTGTGTATGAGGGTTTTTTGTGTACATTACGAATGAATAAAAGTGTTGGTATACATAAATGGAGAATAAGAAGTTTAAAARGTGGCACAGGATAGCAATTATTAATAATTTAGATACTTTTAAATTTCTTTCATATTATATTGTTTCTGTAGATAAATTGAGGTGTGAAAGTGACATAGAAAACTTGACTTAAAAAATAAAAAGTTAAAGAAACAAATATGAATATAATATTATCATTATCACTAGCATTGAGTGAAATAAAATTACTTATATCAAATTATAATGTTGCTTCCAAATTTGTGAGTAAATCGAACAAGTCAAACCAAACAACACCAACATCGACATTCACCAAAAAAGTCATACTTCATCTTGCAGATCTTTAATGGTTTTGGTGATGAAGAACAATGTAGAACTGCCATGACGTAGAAATCCCAGCAATTTTCTGGACAACTCCCGTAGGCCAATCCAATCATCGAAAACAAGTAGACTGCTATTAGAATCATTAGGCATATATTCATCTTGCTGTACTGACCAGAATATTATATATATAATAATATTATTGGATGAGAGCGAGTTTCGGTCAGTGACTACTGTTGCTGTTGCTGTTGTAACTGCTTCTGATGCAGTGTTAATGTTATGGTTCGTACTTACATCGTTAACATTTCGTGCTAATTATGCGATAAAAAATTACTATTGTGTTTTAACTGAGTACATTAGGTCAGAATATATTATTGCTTTTCTACATGTTTATCTTAATTTCTAAAGTATGTGGATAATAAAGATATTGTAAATAACATACAATATTCTTAAATCATATTATAGAGTTGATGGTATACAATAAGTCCAATGTACAAAAATATGCGTATCTATCATAATAACACCAGATTAAGAATTTAATAAGCTAWGTCTCTAAAGAAGAACATTTTGGATGATATAATATATAAAATAGTAAATTTTTATTACTGTATAATATTACGAATAATATATTATTATAATAAAAATAAAAAACTGTTTTATGCCACATATTAATATTTGTAATAAGAATTTTGATTTAACAAAACGTGTGATATCGTGTATCATACTAATATTTGATTATTATTACAATTTTAGTGAATAAGAGGAGARAGAGTCGGAGTCCTCTCAAGCTAGTAACCACTGAATAAATTCATATTCCCTACTAACCCGACTACGTCACTGCCTGTTTCTAGAAATTTCAATACATATTTTACTTGTTTTTGAATTCTGTAGTTGAAAGATTTCCAAGCAAATTTAAATACTAAGCTAAAAAGTTTAAAAGGCTGCTAAGTTATATGCTAGCAAAGAAAAACAATTTTAAACACGTTAGTTTTAATTAAGAAATGGATGGAAAACCGTTTTTCAAGYGCCTCTAATCATATGAATAATTTCAAATATGTTAATTTTTTTTCTTATGTTCTGGTGAAACCTGGCATAGCTAGTCTAWAATCATAGTTTTTTGTAAAATGCATCTATAGTTATATTAGGTAATTAATTGGCATGTTGTCCTGCAATTTATAGAACAGTACCTATTATCTATTGTGAATGAAATTAATGCCGTAAAAATAAAAAATAAATAATCTACTCGTAATATTTGTATGCGTATTATGCATTTATTCAAAGACAAAATTTAATTAATTACGTGTAACAACCTATTATACCTACCTTAATTTGACTGCAAACAAAATTTACAGAATATGTGTCATTAACAATTAATAAGATTGCCACCAATTGTTTGATTTAAAAAATATGATTTTTTTGAATTCAAAAATACATGTCAACTTTAAAAACTGTATACACTGTAATACTATAATATTTTGTATTTTAAGTAGTCTGAGTAAAATTTTTTTTCACAGATCATTAATTTCATACGACTTATATAATATAAAATAACATATTTAACATATTAGATTTGTTTCGATTAATAACATTAGGTACATAATTTATATTTTGTTTAATAACATAGTTTACATTGACAAATGTTGTTTATAGTTTTACAGAATTTGAGTATTAAGTAAAATAATAATAATTAGTTAGTTATAATTTATGTATGATTTTTTTTGTTTTTGATCAATATTTTTGTACATCACAAATGAATAAAATTTTGGAATATAAAAAAGGAGAATTCGAAAATTTGATACAAAAAAGAAAATACCAATTGACTTTGATGTTTTCAAATTTCCTTCATATTATATTGCATCTGTAAATAMGTTGAGTGGTGAAAATAACATAGAAAACACGATTCAAAAAATATTGAAGTTAAAGAAACAAACWCGAGCATAATATTTTTACTGAAATCGAGTAAAAAAAATAAATACTTACATCCATATATTATAATGCTGCTCACAAATTTTAAAGTAAATCGAGCTGTCAATAAGTTAAACAACACCAACATCGACATTCCGAATGACCTTCAGTCCCATCACAGCCATTGAATATTGCAACTGGTGAAATACAATGTTTGTATGCAGCATTCCAGTCGAACCAACATTCACTTGGACAAACGAATGCATGCGTATCACCATACGCCAATCCAATCATCGCAAACAAATACACCGCTACCAGCAACATCAGGTATTTATTCATCTTGTATATTGACCGGAATACGTCTTGATAATCGAATGTGAGTAAGAACGAATTTTTTTCGGTCAGCGACTATACTGTTGTAACTGCTTCTGCTGCTATAATGATAATACTATGGGTCCTATTTATAATATCATMATTGGCGCTTTGAACTCATCGTGCGATATAGTATTCTTAAATTACATCATTGTCTATGTGTAGATGAATGATAATTATATGCTATAATACAAATTATAATAAAGAATAGTTGTGTTCCATATAATATTATCGAGACTATAATATTGAATATAGGCATATTCATCTACAATTAATATTTTATTATCTGTCAGAAATTAAATGAAAAAAGTATATTTTTTTAAA